CGTTTTCAAGCCCCGGCCGGTTGCCGTGCCTCCGAAGGCCGTGGCGGCGGTATAATAACACAGTCCTTCCTCTGTTGCGCTGCTCGTACCTGCTTGCTCTAGAGGATGAGGGGTTTGTTTATTTAGCTTTTATTCCTCCTCTTTAGCCCACCTTTAGTTAAAGCTGGGGTCTGTAGACGTCTCTAGGAGCGTGCGCGAGTGCGAAGTTGAGCTCTTGACTGTCACCATGTGTATATGGCTTAAAAAAAAAAAAAAGCTGAAGGCTTGGGAGGCTTCACCTCAAGGGCTTGCAGAGATGTTCGGGAAAGGGAAGTGACCGCTGTCTTCAGGGGTTACCCCTCTTGAAATGTTGCCTTTGCATGCGTGTTTAAGGAGTCGTGCGTACCTTGAACTGATTCAAACTTTTGTCTTTCTATGAAGAAATAAGAACCAGCGAAGATGGAGATGTACGAGGTCCTTGACAAAGTGGGAGAGGGCAGTTACGGAACAGTAGTGAAGTGCCGACACAAGGACACGGGACAGACAGTGGCCATTAAAATATTATATGAGAAATCAGGAAAGCATATTAACAAAACTGCGATGAGAGAAGTAAAGTTTCTACAGGTTTGTTCCGTTAAATATGTAAAACAAATGGGAAATGGCTTGAAAACGAGAGCTGCATCATTAACAGAGTACGTGGTTGCTTTTAGGCTGCTTCGTGCACAAAATAGCGTGAAAGATTTAAGGTTTTTTTGCTTCTGAAATACTTTCCTGCCAAATTAAAATGAATAGCTAAAGAAAACTTCAAATTTGAAGACAAAGTTCTGAAATGTTGTTGAAAACTGGAAAACTTGTCTGCACTCTTCTGTGCCTGGTAATCCGTCCCTGGCATCTCATCTGAAGGCACCTGAACTTAAACAAAACATGTTGACCTTTCCTACTCTTCTATATTTGTAAATCTACATGCTCAATACAAAATTTGTAACTTGTTTAATAGCTGGTTGCTCGTTGCACTTGATGGTCACTGACTTCCCATGTGACCTCCAGTAAGAAGTGCGTGTTCTCTGTGAGATGGAGCCTCAGCTCCATCAGGCCACTTGAGAGAGAAAGTGGGAAAGGCAGAAGGGCTACTGTTTGTGCTCCTTTAAATCAGAGGTCAGTTTTGCTGTTTAAATTGCACACTGCTCTAGCTTCCCCAGGTGGCCTTTTTTGTCAGCTGTGGATTACATCACTTTGCTTTGGCTCTCTTCCCAGGATACTCAATGCACATTGGCCACAAAAGGGGTGGTGTATTTATTATACCAGTTCTCTGTTATCCGTAAACAGAAGAGGGATTATCTACAAATATTTCCTTACAGAGATGTTATAGCATTGCTGTACTGCAATGGGGAGATTTCCTTTCAAAGTTCATTGGTTCGTTGGAGTCTAGACCTATGTCCATGAAGGTTCTGCAAGAATTTTAGTATAAATATATATCACGTTTGATTTTCCTCCTAGCCAAAGGTACCTAACTCTAAACTAGCCTGTCCTGGTTGTATTGAGCTTCTGCAAAGTGTAGAGCCAGGAACAATAATTTATAGTCAAATTACAGGGTTACAAACTGTGATTCTCCATTTTATAATATGTATTCAGCCCCACTTTCGCTCTTTGTTGCAATGGGACACATTTTAAAAATTCAGTTCTTATCAATTTTTAATTAGGCATAATGGCACGTTTTGCCATAATGGTGCTTCAACTTCTCTTCTGGTTAGTCTAAGTAGTGGCCCTAGCTCTAAATGTGATCTGATTTCATAGACCTCAGTGGCATTAATGAGACTTGACACCGCTGATGACGTAGGTTTCAATTTTTTTTAAGTAATGGTAATTAAAGACAGATTTGTTGTACTGAGTTAATAAAACTGCTTCAAAATATCAAGATAGTAATGTAAAAACAAATAGTTCATGGAGCTGCTTCCGAAATGGTACATGTTTTCAATGTGATTCTTCTAATATGTTACTTCTTGCCTACAATTTAGTAATATAAATAAAGTACCTACACAAAGGTATTTTTAAGCTGATGAGAAGAACAGCTGCTCATTTCAGTGCTGTATTTCTGTTTACCATCTCTGCAGGTGATAGCAGTTTTTGGCTCGACGTTAATAATCTCGCACAAAAGTGAAGAAAAAGCTTTCTGGATATTGTACCATCAAAGAAACAGTGTTTATGGGTTTCTTAATTTCTGTGTAATGTGATTCTAAAATATAGCCAGTTATAGCAACACATTTTGCTCAGTCAGTAGAAGGTGTTAGTTCAGAGCCTGGAGATGTATTGTCAAAAATGAATCTGCGAGTATGTTGAAACACTGGAGGAAGGCTGAAGGAAAGGAAACAAAGACTTGTAGCACATTTTCAAAATAATGTAAAGCTTTAAGTAAAGGATAGTCCTTGTTATGCATTTCTAAAGAGAAAGCCTATCCAAATTGAAATAAAAAGCCATGGTAGACAGTGCTTTTCCTCTTTTACCAACAGCAATTTCATCATGAGAATATGGTCAACCTGATTGACGTATTTAGGCAGAAAAAAAGAATTCACTTGGTGTTTGAATTTGTTGATCATACAGTTTTAGATGAGCTCCAGCGTTATTGCTGTGGATTGGATAAGAAAAGGCTTAAAAAGTACCTCTTCCAGATACTACGAGCAGTCGAGTATCTCCACAACAATAATGTAAGTACTTACTTGAAAGATTGAACATAAAATAAAATGGTGTTATAGCCTTCAGATCACCCTTCTTATTTTCTGTAGGGCTTTGTCATGCAGATATTGACAGTATTAATTCTTTGTTGAGACACAAGTTTTGTTTCTTAATAATAGTTTAGGCACTTCCAGTTGGCTTGAAATGATCTGCAAAATTAAAACAATATAGTAAAGAGACAATTGGCTAGATGACCAGTATAGTATTTGGGCTCTGTGGTGATTGGACCCATCTCTGAAATGCTGAAGAGCTAAATGTACTTAGTGCTCTAATTTTTGATCCAGTCTGTTTTGTTATTCTCAGTTAATCAACTGCCTTTTTAACGGTCTTCTCTGATGTTGCAGTATTTCACAGTAGCTTGCTTGTCCTCCTTCTTTGTATTGTCTCATTTCTCTTAACCACTTTTGTTTTGTCCTGCTGTGGAAAGGTAGGGTGTTGTGCAGAAATCGTATTTACCTGCTCTCATCACCTACGTTAAACAGTTGCTATTTGCAGTAGTATCCGCACATGGATGACTTTGGAAAATTAGGGCACTCTGTGCCTTCCAGGATCAGTTCTGAAGTAGCAGGAGGATTTTTTTCAGCCTTTTTTTTTTTTTTGGACTGAACAATAAGGAACAAAACCTGTTCCTTATTAGATTGATTTGTTTTCTTTTTTCTTTCTTCAGGTTATACATCGTGATATCAAACCTGAGAATATTTTGGTATCACAAAGTGGAATTACTAAACTCTGTGATTTTGGTTTTGCTCGAACATTAGCTACCCCTGGTGATGTTTATACAGAGTATGTGGCTACGCGATGGTACAGGGCTCCTGAACTGGTTTTAAAAGACCGGACGTATGGAAAGTATGTGGGTTTTTTGTTTTCTTTTGCTTTTCGGTACCTCTTATTCAGTTGATATAGAAGAAGCATTCTTATCACATGGACTTTTGCATACAATATAACATTAAAAAAAGGGAAATAATCATATAAAATCTAAATAAAAATTTGTGTCTGCAGTGCATCTACATATAAGGTCTAAGATGGATTCCATTACACTCTGGCTCCAGATACAGTGAAATCGATGAAAAGTTTAAATACAATGCTGTTTTGTATAGATCAAACAGATTATTCATAATTTTCATAAGTCTCTAGAATAAGGTAATTAGTTAAAGCAGGGCTAGTCAAATAGCAAACTAATTTGAACTGAGCTGCAAGTACATTTTGTAGGGGCAGAGCTGGAGGCAGCACCCTGTTAGGCAAAGGCTGCCACATGGATTGCAGCAAAAGTTAACTGAGTAGCCTTGCTTTGAATTGTTATTTTACCAAAATTGTCATCAGCTTTCATCAGCTCAGGCTTTTTTTTTTTTTTTTTTCCCCCTCTAACTTGAGATAACCATAGGAACTAAGATGCAAGAACTTTTTAAAATGTAATATCACATCCTAATTAAGGAAACGTTTAATTCATAATACATTCCATTACAGTGACAGGAATCAAAGGCATGTTTGCAGAGCAGTCTCGTTTGTTTTACTAAGGCTACATTAAGAGTACACTTTATTCTAGCAATATAAGTTCATAACTACCATACTTGTTTATCTTGTGGTTATTTAAAAAAAAAATCAAATTAAAAAGAGAACGGAATATGTTTGTATGCAGGTAATAGGTGGAGCAACCAGTGGGACAGAGAGATGCAGACTTTCCAAGGAATACATTGGATTAGCCCTGTCTCTTTTTTACCTGCCTGCTGTCCTTGTCAGGTCATCAGAGGATATATAGTCTTACAGTCTGCTGTCTCTGAGTGGCTTAATTTCTGGGAAGCAGGACATGAGGACTGATCTACATTATTGCTAGTTAACCTGTGCCTGCTTGCTCTGCAGATGGTTTTTACATGGTATCTATACGATAAGTGGCTGTTGTTGCCGAACCGCTGTGATTCTCAGTGAAGAAGGGTTACCTGAAAAGCTATAAAGAACAGTGCAGTAGAAGATACTGTAAAACTTAAAAGGTTTGCGCTTTCTGAGATGTAGCATACATGGTTGACAACATGGTAACTTGGAAGTGTTAGGGGTTTTTTCCCAAGTGTGTCATTCTTGCGAAGTATTTTATTTTGTATTTTATAATATTTATTGTTTGAGAAATACTGAAATTGTTTCTAAATATTTCTTTTAAATATAACTTCTCTTCATTTTTAAGTCTCCCTGTTGCTGAGAACCTTATTCCTTTTCTGATCCTAGACCTATTGACATCTGGGCTCTAGGTTGCATGATGATTGAGATGGCAACTGGAAATCCCTATTTACGTAGCAGTTCTGACCTAGATTTACTTCATAAAATTGTAACTAAAGTAGGTGAGTATTACTGTTGTGTAAATCAGACGGTATTTAAGGAAAAGCTTTTATACATAATATTAATTTAATGGCTGCATAATCTGTGAATGTAGATTCCTATGCAGCTCATTGAAGGATCAGGTTTAAGTAAGCATTTATATTTTTTTCTAATATAGTCCTGCTGGTAGGACGGATAATGACTTTCGTGAAAAAACTCTTCACTTGGGAAAGCTGTTATTTTCCATGCATACTTTCTAGCACATGTGCTGTATTTGAGTGATAAAGAATAGGCGGACAAAGGGTAGCCTGGAGTTAGCAAGATGTTACTATCCATACCAAACCGTCGTCGTCATTTAAAAGTTAGTTTAAGTTGTCTGTATGTAAGCTTTACCTGTGGGTTGTTGAACACCTTGATATCTCCTGAATTGACTGCTGTTATCTAAATAACATGGTGAATTACCTTAAGAAATACAGAAGGTGTACAGCTATATAGACAAGTTCCTTGTTTCTATACTTTATCACACTAGCTCCTTATAATAACAGTTAAATGTGAAATGTAGACAGGCAATTTTTAGCTGTTGGCCTGTAGTTCCATGGATGGGTCTCGGTGCGACACTGAAACTGTACTCATGCAAGTTCTTTGCACAATCAGTGTCACCACAGCACCGTTTTAAATGTTTCTTAGACATAGCCAACAAAATATCTGATAACAAAATCATCCACTGAAAGTAGTTTAGTAGAGACTGACTGAAGTTGTTTTTAAGACAAATTATTTTGCGTTGCTTGTGACATATTACTTTAAAGTATCCCAATTAACGTACAAATTGTACTATATGAACAACATCTTTCTCATATGGAAAATCTACAAGGATTTTATAATAACAACTGTGTTGGCTGATGGTTTAAAGAGAGCATGCAGGATTTATTTTTCTCTCTTGCACAGAGGTCTAAACTTGCAGCAGCAAAAATTCTGGTTTTGTCCATTATAATATTAAGGAATTATCTGGAGGAGGTTTGGGATTATAAAGAAAGTGATAATTCCATTCTGTATGTTCTCTGTCATGTTGTTAGATAACGATTAATAATAATAGTATATTGCCGTTATTATTTTGGTAATGTGAATTACAAACGTAGAAGTAAATATCTTTTTCGTAAGCTGGAATCATTTCTTTTTCTCAAACCTCAAATATAGTTTATAGGGCAGTATGAGTCAGCTAGAAGGACCTGCTTTTATGTAGCCTTTGTCATTGAAAGAAGAAGTTAGAGAGAAATACAGCCATGTTGCATGGCTGAATATATTTCAGGCTTGAAAGCTGCAGGCTTTTTGATGAGAGATTTTTTAAAAAATATATTTTAGCCATCTCCATGTGAATAATAGAATAAGATTACAGCGTATAATCTTTATATTTGTTTTAACCAGCTAATTTATTATCTATTCATAATGTATTTTTCTTTTCAGGCAGTTTGACACCTCATCTTCAGAGTATTTTTTTAAGAAGTTCAGTTTTTTCAGGGATGGTACTTCCTGAAGTCCAGCATCCTAAAAATGCAAGGAAAAAGTATCCCCAGCTCACTGGCTTGCTGGCAGATATGGTTCATGTACGTTAGATGAGGCCTGAGTATCAAACTTGATGATAATTATAACTTGCGACTGTGTATAATTGGTAACATCACTGACAAGATGAAGTACCCTTTATCTAACATGTAGTGATTGCAATCCATGTTAGTCTGTCTAAATCTGGAACATAAATCTGTTCTGGGGTGTGCAGCTTCTCTACCCAGCTGCTGTCCCTGAACATCATTCCAGAGAAGAGTTATCCTATGATTTGCAGGAGTCCTTTCCATTTTATAGAGTGAATTTCAGTCTGTTAGGCTGGCACTTCAACAGACAGCAAGGTTCAGGGTGCCAGAAATACATGCATCCAAAAGCACTTGATTTAAGATGAGTGAATATTTCAGTACTTGTACTAAGTTTGAAAAAAATAGTGTAACTTGTCAAAATTAAATATGCTTTTTCCTATCAGTACAGCTGAATATGTGAATTCCTCTGTGTGCGTTATGCTAATTAACCTGCTAGATGGCATTTCCTATTGGACTCTCCATTCAGTTATGCTCTTTATCCTTAACTCATATGAGTGGTTCAGTCAGTTTAATTGGGAATGTCCACGCATCCAGAATGTGGACCGTTAGAGAGGTTGGGATTTTCAGAAGTGCCAAGGAGATTCTGGAGAACAAGTGTCGGTTCCATTTTCGTAAGCATTTAAGCTAATTTAAATTCACTAATGTTATCATTACTGTATTCACTGAAACGCAGTTGCAGACAGTAATGGTTTAAAAAAAAAAAAAAAAAGGTTTGTGTTCTGTTCAGTCCTTGAATCTTGTTTCCTGAAGTCAGTGAGAACAGGAACGGACTTAGGTTTTACCGTTCCCAGTAAGAAAAATCAAAAATTCAATAGTCAGTCAATTTACTGTCATACAAAGATTTGAGAAAGAGCAGATGGAGGCGGAATAATCTAATTGTGGTGAATTTTCTTTCTCGGTACGTTATTCTGTCTCTTTTTGACAGCATACCTAAAATGTATTCTTCCATGTAGAGAGCTTGTTCATTAAGCCTTAAAGAAATGTTAAGTGAAAAGCTTCTTTACAAATCCATAATGGTAGTGGTGATACCAGGCATTTCTAATAATCTATTAACGTTACGAAAATTTGAACAAAAGCTGTGAAGTACTTTGTTTAATAAAGAGTAGTGGAGCTTTCACTTAGCAGGGTTTCTAACTAATAATTCTTTCTTTGGCAATAGAAAATAACTGTTGCTTTCAGAGAAATGAAAGATCTCATTCATGCATTGGGGACTGGGAAAATGAAGGACTAGCAGCCAAGATTTCCCCCAGTGGCTGAATTACAACATTAACAAAAGGGATGACTGCACAAGTTGAAGTGGACAGTGTTACAGTTTTATTCCTTCCTTTTCTCTCTAGTTCTCTTATGTCTTTGAAATCTCTCACAGTTCTAGTGAGAAATCTGTTTAAACCTCTCACAAGAAGTCATTGATTTTGCTGATGATGGTTTGACTTTGTGATAAAGGTGTTAAGTTATGACAACTAAGTTTATTACTTAAGATGAAATGTAGCTTTGAATCGAAGTGTATGAGAGAAGAAATGGAAAATAGTTGATCCGTTATATTATTTTGATTCTGGGAGGATTTATTTTATAAACTAGTTTGTCTTACTGAGTTGGTTTGGATATCTTTCAGATTTTCTGTGCTTAAGAGAAATCACACAGCGAAAGCGTAAAGGAACGCTATAAAGTGGCCCACCTCAAAACTGGCCGTCATCGTCATCCAGCTGTGGTAGCTGGAAGCAAAGAATGGAAATGGAGGGATGGAGAATGTCCTTTCAGAATTAGGACATGTTTTTTGATAGAGGAAGTTGATCACTTCCTATGCGTTTAGAAGGGTATTAACCCATCTATTTCAGACATTGATTTATTTAAGTGAGAGGAAACTGCTTTCCCCCTAAGAGTCAATGGAGAGAAGCTAGGGACTCTCAGAAAATGCTTCAGATCACCCTATCAGGCAGTAATTAAAATCTTAAATCAGATATTCTGAATTGCTTATCGAAGAACCTCTATTTCTATGGGTATAGGGATCCTTCCTTTTTCACCTGGACCTTTTAAGTTAACAAGTTAAAAACAGGCAGTCTTAATGTTAGGCAGTATCTCTCAGTTATGGAAAAAAATTAATTTATGAATGTGATACAGAGTGGATATAGTGATGTAAGATCTGGAAACACTGATGGCAGGGTATCTAAGTCCACGTGAACTGTTAGCTGACTCGTCTACTGGTTGCAAAACTGTTGTATCTTCTAATACGCTCTGAGAAGTCTTAATGTGTTGGAGGGAGAATTTGAAGTCATAAATACTATTTTTTCCTAAATAGCAAAAAGATCTAAGTTGATAACTTTATGGTAGCTTTCCCTTGTCTGTTTCCTATTCCGTGCTCAACAATTGCAAGACTGTGAGGACTTCAGACTCTGTTTGTGCATATGAATAATATCCACAGAAGTTTATGGGACAGGGTAGCACATGTAAGTCCCAGAAATGGAACAGAATATCCAAATAAGGGGAGTTAAATGCAATTTGGAAATAAAGAGGTAGGGACAGATTGTTGGCCACTGAGGAAAAAGAGGCAGCATGGGAGTTTAAAGAATCCTGGGTCGATGTATATTTGCCATGGCTACTCTGATATTCCATTCATAACCCCTATCCTCACAAATTAGAGGAGTATTTTGGGACAGTCCTTGGCCAGCAGAGTGTTCCTGTAGGGAATAGTCTCGCCAGTATAATTTAGAGAAAACTCTAGGGCCCTTACCTACCCTAGAATTGGGAGCTAAAATAATAATTCACCTTCCACCCACCCTCAAATTCAGTAAGATGAGCCAAAAAAAAAAGTGAACTAGGTTACACAGCAGTAGAATAGGATCTAGAAATCCTAGATGTTACTGAAATAGGTGTGATGACAAAAAATGATGAGATAATTTAAGTAGAGGACAGAAATGGTGAATATCACCAGATGGAAAGGTTATTTATAATGTAATGATATGAAGTTTTGAAATGAATATATAGGAACTTACAGCTATGCACACCCTAATGTACTAGTATCCCCTGTAGATTGCGAACGGATGTTAGTTTATTACTACATTTGATAATAAACAATATTGCTTACATTATAGCATACTATTTGTCATTATGAAATAATTTCTTCTAAAGTAATCTTCCTGATATTTTACAGGCTTGTTTACAAATAAACCCTGATGATAGGATCTCTTGCTCAGATTTGCTGAGGCATGACTATTTTACTAGGGATGGATTTATTGAAAAGTAAGCATTTTATTAGTCACTAGAATATAAGAAGCTATAATTTCAGAATTTAGACATTTTTGAAGGCTCTGTAATAAGGAAATACATGATTCGCAAGTATGTAAGTTTTTTTTTTTTTAGAAATTTTTGAATCTTTAAGACAAATTATTTCTTTGTAGATCTTCACTGTCATAAAGAATCGAAGATACTCCAGTTGTTCAAGAAAAAAATTGTGTTTTATTAAGTACCTGTGCAGTAGGACTGTTCAAATTCATCAGATGCAATGTGTAGAATAATGCAGGATTTGACTCCTGCTATTCTGTCAACAAAAAACAGCAAAGTAGAGGTATTCATAGGAACCCGTATGTCCCAAAAGGTTCCCAAAAGAGGTCTTAGAAAAAGTTCTCTAAGATCACCCAAAAAACGTTCATTATCTGTTCTCCCATGCGTACAAGAGTGGATTCAGAGACTCTGGCCAAGTCTTCCCCATGTTGAGCCTGGTCCTCAAGAGGCATGAATTTCAGCACTGCAGTAGAACAGCACTGTTCTGGTCTTTTGCTTCTAATATTATCTCTGCAAATTTTGTTTAGGTCATATGAATTATAATTTACAACAAAGAGCCTTAGATAAAATGAAAATGTGCAATTTTTTTTTGTTTTTTTTGGTAACGGTTTTAGATATTTCTGGTAAAGTATCACATATAAACTTGTAACAATTATTATATTTAAGCTACTATTTTTACATTTTTGTTACATGCAACTGTTTCTATTGCAGCACAGCTGTTGTTCAAAAAAATTAGAAAATCTAGAAACATATTTCAGATAGAAGTATGTATTTAGCTCCACATTCAGCTAGAACACTGATACCATAAAATTATAGAGAGCTTTCAGCCCCACCTTTTATTAAGGTTGCCCAACGCTGCTTTTTATAATGCTCCTATTTCCAGCTTTTGCCATACTTTATAAATGCTTGGTATGAAACTTTGAACTCAAAATATCTATCTCAAACTGTATATTTCCAGAAGGATTCCATCCAGAAAAATACAGCCTTTTCAAAGCAAAAGGCTAGAGGAAAATACAATGTTACCCAGATTGAAATTTGCTAGTAACTTTTGATTTGTGTGTGTTATCCTGAAGAACGGGAATCTGAGCCTTATTCACAGTTCCTGCAAAAACTAAACAGGTTACTTAAATGAAAAATTTCTTGCATGGTCAGTCTCTTTTTTTGGCTTCTGGAATTGAGATTGTTGAGCAGATTTTCACAAGTGCTGAGAACTCAGAAATACAACTGGAGTCAATAAGGTATGCAATTAAAAACCGAAATCCTGTATAGTCCTAAGTACTTGACGTTTCTAGGACATCAGCTTTTCAAGTGGGCACATGGCATTAACGAACCCTGTTTACAGCTACACTACGTGCTTCTGTTCCTTTTTGTAAAAGTGATAATAACGGCACTTGCTGCTTAACAAACTGCTACTCCGTTCATTAATGATATATTCATTAATGCTTGTGAAGAATTTGTGCACTCCATTGATAAGTATCACTTTGTAATAACTGTTTGTAGAGTTACAATTTGCGGAGTGAGGGAAAATCACGGCATAGGATCACACTGACTAATGAAGATAAAACTGCATGCTGCCACTCCGATGGAAGCTGTCCCATGCTCTGAATAAAACAAACTGCTTAGTCAAAATAGCATATAGTATGCAATCATCTTATAATGCATGCAGAGAGGACAATAGATTATGGTTGCTTAGGAAATAAATATTTCTAATGTTTAATTTGCTGAATGCTTGGCTTTACCACAAAAAAGTTTTTTAAAAAAATCCCCCACTTTGTAAACTACTTTTAAACATATTTACTTAACATTACTCGTCTCAACATATTGAGAGCATCATAGTGTGATCCGTATTAAGCATGGTTTTGGAGTGATTTGTCTAAAAATTACTATTAGCTTCATCTGAACCTTGCCTTCTTGTGTTCTGCTAGCTAGCCAGTAGGTGTGGCTATAGAGCCTGGTCTTGTGGCCTTTGAAATACATGGGATTTCTTTCATCCGTCTGTACAGCAACCATTTCTAACAAGGATATGATGGTGTATGCTCTCTTTCATCCTCAGGAATCCCAGGCTGTGTTCAGAAGCTGTAACTGCAAACTCAAGTGTCTGTTAGTATGTATAGCTGTCTTTTATATGGACATAGTGTAGGTATTTTTTTACTGCAAAGGACATGGAAGCTTTTGCAGGTTCTTTTTTGCTAATTTTTGACCAGTAAGGGAAAGTGTAGCTTGTAGCTTATCTTTGGTTTTGTTTTTTGTTTTATTCCGATAACCACACTTTTCAAAGCTGTCTTCTAGCGCTCAAAGTCCAAACTATAAAAATGAAGCATATCCTTAGCACAATATGATATTTTATAGTTAGAAATATTAAGTTACTAATTTGGACAATGGCTATATTAAATGCAATATAAAATCACTGTATAGAGACTAGATTTTTGTGAAATTCCCCCTTTCAGGCTTCATTTGACATTGTAGTAAAAGAGAACTGAAGCATAAACACGTTAAAGGGTGGCTAGTCATTCAGTGAATCGATCAAACTTCAAAGGCACTTTGTTTATACCTTGCTGTTTAGAGATAAATGAAACAGTCCATAATTTGTCAGCATCAACATTGAAACATCTCCTCTGAATAAAATTTGCATTATTACATCACTTTTTTGTAAGGAACAGCATACTTATAAGTTTGTGTTTTTTTTTAAAAAAAATTGTTTTAATGGCTAAGCATCAGTTGTGTGCTAGATACGTTGTTTATTGACAAGCTCTATTTTCACCATGTAGGCTTGGCATTATACTTGGAACTACTCGTGAGGTATTTGACACTCTGAGTTGTTAAATAATGGATTTAGTTTAGATGCTGACAGATTATTTCAAGATAAATTTTTCTTTAATGTAACTTAAAGACATATACCCTTTTTCTTAACAGATTCTTACCAGAACTGAAAGCTAAATTCTTACAAGAAGCAAAATTAAATTCTCTTATGAAACTCAGGAGGAATGTAGGACTACTAAAAGATGAAAAGAGAAGTGCTCGTGTTAATGCTTGTCTGAATGGCCCAGTGTTTAGGAAGGTGAGAACTGGTTTTCTTGAAATGTTTATTGCTGCAAAAAATTGTAATCTTAATTACAACACACAGTGTTATTAGATTAACTGTATGTCTTCATGCAGTTCAATCAAATCAGTGTCACTGCAGTGTAAAACTGCATGTTGCTTGATCTATTTTGGGAGACGGGTATTTCCAAAATCAAAATGAAGTTAACAAAGGTGCATTGGAACCAAGCACATGCTTATACGTTTTTATAGCAGGATGACAGGGTTATATGTTTAAACACTCTGCTGAACAAGAGACAACATATCTGAAGTAAGAATAAACGTGGTGGGGAAAAGTGCATGCAGGAACAAACTTCAAAGACTTCTTATCTTGCCGCTTTCCTACTATTCCTGATGGCTAGCCCACATACACCATTTCACACTGCTTGTGTTTTATAGGTGGTTTTAAACACCAGCACCAAAAGACTTTTTCATTAGTAAAAGAGTCTTCCTCCTAGGCGATGTGAAACATCTGTTGGTGCTCTGCACGTTATTACTTAATGTGTTGTCATAGCACCAGAACTGTGGCACTGTCTCAATGATACAGGTTCTGTATTTTCACCTGTTTCTGGAAAGTTCAAGAACCAGTTAACTGAGAAATTGATGGTGAGTGGTGCTCAAAAATACCACAAATAGGTAGGTGGCAGCGCTGATGTTATACAGAAAAGCTGACCATATTCTGGAAGAGTTTGAGAACAAAGCAGTCAGTGCTGTGATGGTGCAGATGGTCTGCACCAAGCTATTCTTGTGATGTGTTTCATAATTCCAGTCACGGTAATTCTGGGTAACTCCAGTCTCCACTGTGGAAAAGTAATAGAGCTATCATTAAAAATTTCAGACAAAAAAATGCTGTCTTAAAGAAACCCCTACCAGAAATCTGTTCAGTTTCCAGACATAAATTTAAAGTCCCTTTAGGTATTAACTGTGAATCTTATAACACACTTTGAGTCTGTTTTTTTTTTTTTAACCACACTATCTGTAACATTTTTTTTTCTATTTTTTATGTAGTCTGCAAAACAACCAAATAAAGAGGAGTTTATTGTACAGCAAGTGCTGTTAGACACTCAGAACGATTATTATTTTTCTCTAGTTGCTTTTGATTGTAGACATCTTAGTTATCACAGGAAACCATGCTCAAACAGCACTGTGGTTTTTAAGCTCATGAGAGGCCCCTTTAAAGAGTTCTTAGATCTATTTTCCCTTAACTGTGCTTTCTGAATATGGATAGATCCTTTAATTTCAGATTCCAAGTGCAATGTTAGAAGATAATGTTCAAATCAGCAGTGCATGCTGAGTTGTTATTTCATCTTTCCCAGGTCCCCATATGCTGCTTGGTGTACGCAAGCATTTTCTGAGCTTGCTTTTCTTTACATTCTGATCAGAAGTTAATGTCCCACTTTCTTTTGGACACTGCAGCAGGGAGTAGTGTTTTTTCCTGTCCTTCCTTTCTCTAGGGCCTAGCAAGAGTTAACAGAGAGAAAAATAACCATCCTAGGGCCTGGGGAAGGAAAACAACAAACCGTTAGAGGAGCTCTCAGTAGGGTGGAAGACACCAATAGGCCATGTGAAAGTTTCTCTTTTGCAAAACTGTGGTGGTGGTGGTGGTGGGGAGAATGACTGGCTTTTACTCCTGAATTGTTCCTTCTGCCTTTTCGAGTGATGGCAGGAGTAGCTTACTTTCCTAACCAGTTTATCCACCTGAAGGAAGTTTGCTTGGGGAACGTGAAATTTGTTGATGAGTTGAATAGGTATAGCATTTTGTGAGTTACAAGAAATAAAAGTTCTTATTCCACGTGGAAGGGCAGCTGGCTTGTCGGCAGCCCCCTGTCCTAGGTATACATGGTCTATTTGGCCTCTGTTCTTCAGTCCAGCTTTCGACTGCTATACCCCTAATGGCACAAAACAAGACTGAAGACAAGGGGAATGTTAATGTAAATGAAGTCCTAACAGAATGCCAGACCTTCAGTTCAGAGATGTGGGAGTGTGACTTGTTTGCAGTGTCCCAGGATAGTACCCAGTCTGCACTGGTACAGCATTGCCTAGTAACCCCAGCTCCTGAAGAGAAAAAGTCTAGGAAAAGGAAATCAGTGTTTCTTATTAAACCACTCATTTGACACACACGTATATTTTTGTTCTTAATTCTGCGATACAAGTGGAGTTCTCTTTCGACATGTTGCAGCCAAATTTTCTAGTTCATTTTCTTATATTGGCACAATAATGTGAAGACATGTTAAAGTATTTTTGTTGTCTCGATATATTTGATGTTATTACATGAGGGTGGAATTAAAAAAAAAAAGGCAAAAAAGCTCATTTACACCTACAATTCTAAGAAATGTTCTGTGATGGCAGTATAATAATAATAAAAACAAATGATGGTAATGTCCAATTTTGAGACACTTCACACTCATCTCAGTGTATCTCTTGGAGGAATACTTGGCCTCTTGTACGAATGAAAGCATGAAAGTACAAAGCAATATCTAATTTAGAGTGTATATCTATTTTGACATAGTGTTTGTTCTAGGATCTCATAAAGGACAAAAAATCAAGGAATCTAAGAGTAAAAGTTGCCAAAGTGAAAGGTGGGAAAAAAGCAATCCCAGGGATGGAAAAAACTAATCAGGAAGACGCAGATACTCAGCGTGCCGTTTTCTCACGGCTTGGTTTTCCTGAAGAGGCCAACCCTAACCTCTCTGATATGACTGCCTCTCTAAATGCTAGCAGTGACCTCCTCACCGTGATGGAGCATCCTGTGTCGACAGTGATTTGTTCAGCAATGCCACCTATCAATCCAACCTGCGGGAACCTTACTGCTGCAAACTTCAACTCATACTTGCCGATTTCTAATACAAGGTTAGCGTCTTTTGTGCTTCTCTTTAAATGAGACAGTTGATAGTTGTTGTAACTTAAAAAAATTAAAAGAAATGTGGATTCACCAGCTTTTTTTCACTAAATAATACTGTTTTCATTTTGCTAGGATTTTATATGTTGTTAGAGTTTGCCGTATGCTAGCTTTGGCAAAAGAAATCTGGTGCAGTCCATGCTGTCCCCTTTTTAATGTAGACACGCTCCCTTCTGGGATGGCTGGTCTTGGCATAATGGAGTTATTTTAGACTCGTTAAATAAATTAAGAGTAGAAACAAAAACCACCTTAGGCTGCGCTTTGCTGCTAAAATACTGTTTTTGCAGAAAATTATCTTTTCTTTACTCAGGCAGATTTGCAGGCAAAAGCAGCGTTATGAACCCTGATCATTATAATACCGTCTTTCCTGACGTTATCACAGTCCTTTTAAATTCCGTTTCTCACATGTAAATACGGTTCTTTTTTTCTACAATGCTCACTGGCATGTTGTTCAAAAAGCTACAACATTAGTTCACTACATTTCACGTGGTACCTCCTATATTAAATGCAAACTGTGACTGTTAAAGAGCGTTATTTGAAGCACGCATCTGTGTTCAAATCCCAAATATATGCCTCCAGCAACATGTATTGTTGTTGTGAGGGGGCTTATGTAACCCTACTACTCAGCTCTTGAATGGCCAGCTACGCATATCGTAGTTGCATTTGTTTATCACAGGGCATCTGAAAAAACAAAGAAAATAAGTGCTTGGCAATCAGTGGGACAGATGGGAACTAGCACCAAACAGGAGGAAGAGTCTGTGCTTCAGGTATGCGTATTTTCTTTGTTTTCTTATTTCGATTGACATCCATTTGCAAGTTTTGAAATGTACCAGACTGACTTATTTCAGGAGATGCATGATGATCCTTGGAGCTTTTCTATTGGCAGTGACAGTTGTACCATGTTAGGTCCACCAAGAATGAAACTGTAGCCTAATAAAGCTGTTGAATTTTCACCCTGGACTTTACTGGAATTAGATATAGAAGAAATCTTTCCTCACTGGAGTTTTCTTGGAGTGAAAGT